ACACTTCTGTTTAATGTTTTGTATGAGTATTTCAATGTTTCAGCCAGTTATGAATCTTTTTTCTTTGAAAGATTTATTTGTTTGTATTGGAAAGGCAGATATGAAGAGAGGAGGAGAGACAGAGAGGAAGACCTTCCATCGTATGGTTCACTCCCCAAGTGGCCACAATGGCTGGAGCTGAGCCAATCCGAAGTGAAGAGCCAGGAGCTTCTTCCAGGTCTACCATGTGAGTGCAGGGTCCAAAGGCTTTGAGCTGTCCACGACTGCTTTCCCAGGCCACAGGCAGGGAGCTGGATGGGAAGTGGGGCCATCGGGATTAAAAGCAGTGCCTATATGGGATCCTGACATGTTCAAGGTGAGAACATTAACTGTTACACTATCACACCAGGCCCCAGTTATAAATCTTGAAGTCATTATAAGGTTGTACCCCATCCATAGTGAGTGTTCTAATTTAAGTTTATCCTTCAACAGGATTTCTGCATCAAAATCACTCCTTGGTCATTTACTAGCCAGGTGTCAAATTTCAGGAGTCCAAATCCCATTCCTGGGACAGTTTAAGTCCTATGGGAAATAGTCTTACTTTAACTGAGTCAAGGATATATTTGAAATACATGCCATCACAAAAAAGTTTTTAGTTTGACTTTTGTGCTATATTACTTTTGAGACATGGTTAGCCCTTATTTTATCGAGAAAGCATATAGTCCAATTTCTGTTAAGCAGGACAGTGTACATCCACTAATGGGTTCCTGCTGCTTCTACTAACCTAAAAAATCTCTTGAGCATGCTGTATTTTTTTTCTCCTGATGTCACATTCCTTTTCCTTGCAAACCACTTTGTCAATATAATACAAAAAAAAGCATATTCAGAGCCAGTGTAAATGTCTTCTGTCTTGTCTCTTAAAAGGCATATTGCTCAGGTGACAACTGTTGAGTTCAGGGTCTTTTGTCATTGAACATGGTGGCAATACTTCTGCTTCCAAAATCTCATGCAAAGTTACCATCACACTTCCAGCCATTTGATTTCCCTCGTCCATGAAGCTGCTTCTATACATTAAGACTTAAAGATATGGAGTCTTTGAGGAGATATTGGTCAAGACTGGCCTGCTGAGACAGACTCATTCATGTGTAGCTAAATGTGTAGATGGTAAAGTCCTTAGAGTAACATTTACATTATTGAATAATTACAACTGTACAGTTCTCAGATGTATCAGCCGATTTAGATGGTAGTATCAAGAGTCTCTGAATAGTTTGCCACTGGACACTTCCCTTATTTTTTGTGCGCCAAGAAGTTGCAAGGTTTCTCTGGGCTGGAACCTGCAGTACAGTGCTGTGACAATGCCAGGCATTTGCAGACTTTCATAGGGTCACTAGCAGGGAGTTGGAACCAAACCGCAAAAGGTGCTATGGCTTTTGGGAATTTAACAAATAATTGTAAACTAAAAAAAAAAATCCACTTTGTTCCAAGAACATTACCATAACATTAGACTTCATATTTCAGTTTTTGTCGAGTTTAGAGACACATTCAGCTGTACCCCTACATCCCTTTCCTGTTTTATATTTTATTGTCTTTTTAAAGAAAGTTTGTTTGTGCTGATGATTGCTTATAACTTCCAAATATGAACATGCTCCTTTACTGAGATTAGATTCCCATTCATGCATTGGCATACTCTAGTTGGAAATCGGTTGCATTGTGTTCCTGCCAAAACTGTCAGACCTTTAGGATGGTATCTGCTAACCTTTTGCTGAGAGTCCCCACCTTCCCCCATCCCCATGGAGTCCTTCATTTGAAATTTTTTGTTCTCTGTAGGGGTGGAATCCAAATCAAATATGAGGTCTGGTGAGGTAGATTTGCATGGGAGGTGGGGCCAATGGAGGATGCATATACTGCTTTGGGCATAAGATTCTGCCAGTGGTCCTTGCAGTGTTTCTTTCTAATCCCCAGGTTTAGTAGACAAAGGCACTATAGAGCTGTGTTGCAGGAAGAAGGGCAGTTTTCTCCCCATTAGGCAATCATTCAGCAATGCAATAATCGTCCCTAATTGCTCAAATTCCTGGATATCACTGAAGTCCCCATGGAATCTCAAGGAGCAGCAACTGAGGCTGGAAGTACAGTTGCAAAACTGTGTGGGTCTGGATTACATGGCACCATCCGTGGCCTTTCCCTCCTTTCTTTTGAAATGACAACGTGCTATTTTCAGTCCTGTAGGTAACAAGCACACACACACACACGCTTAGAAGAAAGGCCTATGCGTTTGTGAACAACATGACAGCAAATGTGTGTTGATGAATTGCTAGTGCTAAAGACCCACGCATGCTGTGTCTCAGCTGGAGAGTCATTTTCATAATTTTAAAGTGCTGTGTATTTTTTTTGCCAAAAAAAATCCCTCTTACTTGAAACAGATTTTAAAAGTTATTTTTGGTCTTATATCTACTGTGGCTGTTTTAAGAGCTAGACAGATAAACTCCACATTTCTCAAGCAGTCCTACACCAAGACTGCCCATACAAGAATTTGAAAGTTATTAAAGCTAATGCCTCTCTTGCCCTCATCCAGAGCAAGTGACTTTCTACCCTGCAACCGTTTGTACCTTCCAATTGTACATTCCCAGTTTCCTACTCTTCACATAATCCCAAATTTCCCTCAATCCTATCCAGACTGTGCACAGTAAAAAGTGAGGTTGTACAATCCACCAGAGTTAGATTGAAAGCCTGGGCACACGTTTGAAAAAGCCATGAAGAAGTATGTAAAACATATATTTTCTGAACCTTAATTTCTTCATCTTAAAGTGAAAGTAACATGAATTCCTGCCGATAGGATTGACCTGAGTAATAAAAAATCTGATGGCTAGAAAGGGCAATGTCTAGCTGTCATGGAGTTCAATGTTCAATGATAGAGCTACATTAGTAACCACTGCAGGCTAGCATTATTTCTCTTTCTGATAAACTCCATCTGATTCAGCTACCATTTATTTAAAGTTTAAGAAGGTATGTTTTGGATGACTTATGCAAATTTATGCCAATTAATTTCAACATAAAAGTGCAGAGATTGCCTTTTAACTGCTCACTGAATTTTCAGACATGCCACACCCATGTGACAAATAGCCAGATTACAAAACTATTCAATATCCGTATCCCAGAAGACCCCATGTCTCTATCTGGATTCTATACATCCCACAAAGAAAACCAATATCCAAGCTTCTAGAATCAAGTTTAATGCCATTTGTTAACCTGATTGTATTTTTTTATTATCAAAGGAAATTTGATCTTCTTTAAGTTATGGAACTTACAACTCTTCTCTCACTGTAAGAACAGTTTGTTAGGTACACATTCTCCTGCCATTCGTCCCACAGTGCACTGTTGTGCTTTACACTGGACTAACAAAACTTCAGTCCTGCGTGAGCCCTGCTATCTGCCTTCTTGGCATCCCTCAAGGTATGGGAAATTCCTTGAAAATATCATCCACTCTAAGGCTGATACCACAAAATTTCATGATCTTCCACTTTGGCTGCTCAGTTGTACCCAGCCAACCTGTCTTATTCTTCTGATCAGTCATTTCCTTCTCTACATAGCAACTCTTATAAACCATTTTTCTGCCCTTCATTAAATATTCCTACCCCATAATGTCCCCAGTGAGTTTTGGTATATAATCCTTCTATGGATATAAGACAAAAAATTAGAGCTGTCCATAATTAGCCTAACCTCTTCTCAGTCCCAGCACTAATGAGACTACCTCCACACCTCCATCTCTAGCACCTTTTCCCGAAGTTTCCTCTCTGCATCCCAGTGGCACCCCATACAGCAGTGCCAGGACCTATAATTTCACTTATTCAAACCAAAAAGTATCAGAACACTTATTTCATGCTTAGATAGCATGAAATGTTTCAAAATTAATATTTATGGCATCAATAATAACAACCATAATTTATAGAATACCATCTAGATACATGGCATACCTACTTTGAAATTTACTTTTTTCTTATTGCAAAACAATAGTTTTCAGGTTAAAACCCTAGAATAATTCTATGTAATAACATTTAATGGAGTGGATTGGAATACCCTGAATTTTACCATCTGGGGATGTTGATTTCTAGCATACTTTATCTATTTTTAGTATGTACACATTTATATACGTATATTTTGAATAGTTGAAATAATAATTTTATACCTATTTTAAATTGAATATATATTGTTATTAGAATTATTCCTAACCATTATAACTCTATTCCTTCTATAATGCAAGCATAAATGAAGTGTTTTTTTCATCTACCTTTTATGAAATATTTAGTTTCCAAATTTTCTTTGCACTTTTTCCTTCATGTATATTCTTAAAAATTAATCAATTACATCAAAAAGTTTCAAGCTCTTGGCTGTGAAGATGCTTTCTTAGGTCACCGACTGAAAGAATTACACTTGCTTCTGTGGCTATCAGAATTTCAGTTTCTTATTTTCAGAAGTTTTCTATGTTTATTTTTGTTTTTATTTGTAACCTTCATAAGTGTAATTGTCCTTTTACATTTTTTTTCATTTGCTTGGATCACTTCCTTCAGGTTTTATCTATCTCATCTCTGCTATTAAGCAGAGAAAATTAACTCTCGTGGTGAGATCACTGATGAGAGAGGTGTGGAGGGGAACTGAAAGCAGAAAACCTCTTCATTTTCTTCTAAATGTAAGGGCCAAAACTGCTTGTTAGACTTATAAATAGTAAAGACGATCACCTTTACTATTTATTTTTCATATTATTTATTACTTACAGTAAGAATCTGGAGCAAATAAGTAGATTATCTTTGCATGTTTGAGGAAGAAGGTAGGGAAAGGAATAAAGCTGAGACCACAACATGGTTTCTTTATGGTGACTAATCTATAGTTAAATAACCCATGTTTGCTTTTGTGTTTCAAAGCACAGTGTGATCACTGTTTATATCACCAACTAATACCTTCTATTGTTCATGCCAGTCTAGTGCATCCTGAACCTACCCTTTGAATAACAAAGCATATCTTCACAGCAAGGAAAATGAGAACTCAAAGGCAAACTCCCAAGAATCAACCCAGAAACTCAAAACTTCTACTGTGAAGCAAGTGAGCGGTGATGAACAAACAAATTACAATCCAAATGATGTGGAAGAGAACACGCTCTCAGAGAACAATGAGAAATTCCGGTCAGTGGCACATGGCAGCAGATTCCTGGATGGCAAAGTGAGTAACAAGAAATACTGGAGCTTTTCTCAGTAATTTACTGGAAAATACAGACAAAAAGTAAGGTTCACACAATCACACATGTATGAAATAATAATACATTTTGCATGAGATAGACATTAAGTCATTTTTTAACTCTGAAAATGATTTGCACGGTCATTTGGGATTTTCATCTTTGTTGACCACCAATTGCGAAGGTCTGTGTTCTCTGTGGTTAATTCAATGATGCTCATAATAGAAACTTAAGTGTCACTACATTTGCAAAATTGGAGCATATTACAGGGGAAGGAACTGTTTGCTTTCACATTACTGGAAGAGATAATTTATATATTCAAGACCCAAATGAAATCATGTCTATATATCAAAACACTAGAGGCCCAGAATTGTCTTGATAGAAACATATCATTGCATTCTGTTAACAATCAACCCAACAATCTATAGCAAGCTGATTTTGTAATGGTAAGTCTAAATGATTAGTAATTCGTAATTTAAAAGCAAGTATAGTAGCAGTTGAAAGCTGGATCTAAATTAAGACAAAACTAATGATTCATTGGTAACAAAACACCATTTCCAAAAATTGCTGAAATTGCAGCTAAACAGATACTTGGAGTAGGAGTTTTGCAATGTTGCCTAGCATTAAGTGACAGTCAGATATTTTAGTAGAATACTGATTAGAGTCTGCAGTAGACTGTAACTTGACTACTTTTAGTTTGTAAGTTTAATAGTCAATTCTAAACTACTACTAAACTAAACTAATTCTAAACTACTGAGATAGGTATTTGTCTTTAGTCACACAAAAAGAAAAATGAATACCTAAGGTTCTGTGAACTTTTGCTCATAAGAACAAGCAGGGGGTTATAAATGTAAAGTGGTTGACAGCCCATCAAATGGGATTCAGTCTATAGTCTTCTAGGTATTGTTAAACACTAAAGTTCATTTATGAAATGATTTTCTCAAATCGTTAGGAATACAACCTAGGCTGAAAATGACCTCATAGTTCCCAATTAATGTATTCTATTCGCTTTCCTATGAGGCATCCCTGAATTTAAGACTTCATTGAAACAGAAGGTGATTAATCTACCAAAATAAAAAACTTGTAAAGATCCTGAGGTTTTGCTCTAGTTTTGATTCTCTTATTAATATATATGATGATGGTCTTGATCCCCAGGATGAGATCAATAATTTTATAGCAATTAAATGCTTTCATTATTGACTGTTTTTGAATAAATTTTATATTTGCTTTTTGGAATTAATCTTGTTTTGGAGGTGACAGTTCTTTTTATTACCACAGAATAAATGGTAAAACTGAACCCCAGAAAAATTAAAGTACAGATGAAATGTTTTCCAACTTTTACCTTTACTTAAAGTTTAGTTAGTCTTTCCTGTTATAAACATTACATAATTATGTAGAAGTTTTGGCAAATAGAAGAATATAAACAACAGCAAACCAAGAAAGCCTTTGGGTGCCTTTCCTATTCCTTCACTTGTTTTTATGCATAGATATACAATGAGAGTCACTATGTTTATAGACTTTATTAAATACTGCTTGATTCACTCCATGACAAAAATTGGCATTAACAATTTCATCATATGCATCACTTTATGAGAATCAACAAATAACATTCACATATGTATTAACAAATTTACTTTTCACTAACGGTGAGGTAGAAACTTATCTTTATTTAATGTTCTTTCAGAAATGAAGAAAAAGTGCCATGTTAAGCTTACAATTCAAGCCCAGAGTTTGGGTCCTAATCACCACACCAGAAGGTTCTTTTACACTGAGATTTCCTGATTCATCAAAAAAAAAAGCTTTGTGGTCATTTAAGACTTTTTTTTTCTTGAAATAGAAATTTTTACATTGAGCATCCTTGTAATATGTCAAGCTGCCCATTCCTGCCATGATCTCTGTCCCCCATTGGAATGCATAAACTATTGACTAGGTAAACTGTTCCTGGACTTCCAGGAAACAGACCATTTGCTAACTCTGTGGTACTAGAGGGAGATGATTTGATCTCTTCCATCCAAGACTTCAGCAGCTTTTGTGGGAAGCTCAGTGGGGCTAACTTGCAGCCACCAAACACAGGAAGGCCTTGTGGGAGGTGTTAGGACTAATTGGTTCTCTCTGCTGAGTGGCAGTGTGGTGCTGGCCTGCCAGATGGCAGCCACAGTTGCTTGATAGAGAGACCCTCATTACCACTTTGACAAAGTGGTAACTGGAATCCTGTGCAATTACAGAAGCAAACCAATCAGAACTCCTTCTAGATCCTTTATCGCTCACATGAAGGAAAATAAGCTCTCCTGCCTGATACTTAACAGGCAATCTGGATCAGCTGAATTTGCTCCAAGAGAGAAGTTGCTGATAAACACTGAGCTAACTAGCACGGATAAAGACAGGCAAGTGTGAAATTCTTTTCCAAATGACAGCTTAAGTTTGAAGAGTATCATTGGTAAGAGCTAAGCAAAGCTAAAAATATAAAGAGAATCCTTGGATCTCTGTGTATGAGAAGAGTAAGTTGTGTCAGAAATCAACAACGACAAATCTTCATTTTGTGAGTGAGGAGAGAAAGAGCCAAAGACCTTAAATGATTTAGAGCTTCCACGAGTTGTTTAAGGTGTCAAAACAGGAGACTTTGGCTCTACTGTCCACCAATCCTTGTTTTTTTTTTTTCTCCAAAAATCTTCTACTAATGAGTATGTCTTTGAATATACTATTTCCAGTTGTATTGTTCCTCAGAAACACCACTTATGCCTTCAGTTGAAAATTAAATAAATAAAAGAAGAATGTGTGATGAGCAACAAACTCAGTAGCACAGACTCAAAAATAAAATTAGAGTGTGCTTTTTGCATCTGGCAGCATGCAAATGAAAGTGTTAGTGCTTTAATTTTAGTCGCTATCACAGATGACTGATAGGACGTTCTTTTCAAAGGCACTTTGTAGGATTTTTTCTGATTTTTTCTTCACAGTAACTCTGTGAAGCAGGTAGAAATACGTGGTGTTATCCCTATTTGGTAAGTGAATAGCCATATGTCACGATCATGTCTACCTGGTTGTGCACTCACAGCTTAGATTCAACATGCTCACAGCAGAACTCTGGTTGTGCTTTTTCCTGTGATCCGCTCCGTGTGATGGTCCCGACATTCTCCTGTTAGCTAGGAAGAAAGCTGGCACAGCTTCCCCCTTTCTCTTTCTAAAACTGATAATTAGGCTCAACACAATATCCTAGTAGCTAAATCCTCACCTTGCATCTACCAGGATGGACACTTGTCCATGTCCTGGCTGCTCCAAATCCCATCCAGCTTCCTGCCTGTGACCTGGGAAAGCAGTGGTGAATGACCTAAAGTCTTAGGAACTTGCACCTGCATGGGAAGTCCAGAAGAAGCTCCTGGCTCCTGACTTCAGATCAGCTCAGCTCTGGCCATTGCGGTCACTTGGAGAGTGAATCAGTGGATGGAGTATTTTTCTTTCAGTCTCTCCTCCTCTCTGTAAATCTGCCTTTCCAAGAAAAATAATTATTCTGTAAGAAAAAGCCAAAGGAAAAAAAAAAGCCCTGATAACCAACCAGTCATGGCATCCTTTCTCTGAGCCTCTCGAAATGTCCTCTATCCTTGTTTCCCTGTCATCAGTTTAGTCAGACTACCTTTGTGTTACCAGACAGAACTGAGTCGGCTTCAAATTGACTTTCCTGTCTTTTTCCTGTCCTTAACTTATGTTGGTCATAAGAACTGGTGTGTAACAAGTCAGTAAAATAGTTAGTGGTTTATATCAAATGTCAGCTAAGACATCTCATTTAACTCAGAAGACTTCAAGGTGAGGATTTGGTTCAAGTCTTTGTTTTTCTTGTTGTTCTGAATACAGTGGGTTCACCAAGCCACATTCTTGTCATAATGACAGAAATGATTCAAGAGGACAGTCTCAACCTTGCAAGTATATTTGATTATGTTTTCACTAACATCCTGTTGGTCGAAGGAAACCACATGTCTAAGGAGAACACCAGTGGGATAGGGATGTATATGCCAACATCTTCAGGAGAAATTTCAAAACCAAAACTCAAGGGTAGCTCTTCTTAAAACACAAACCCATTGTCATATTCTCATTGTTTACTACAAAATTTCAATTCCTTAACTTACTATTCCATCTCAACAGTCTTCCTTGCCTGCCTTCTCCCCCTTTTCACTAAGCAGTATTTCTATTCCATAAACAAAGTTCCAGGCTCATTCTCCTGCTGCTTATTGTCTTGCTGATGTTTTGTGTGGAATTCTCTCTTTCATCTTTGATTAACTCTTAATATGAGAGTCTCAATTAAAACATTGGCTCTTTAGATAAGTATTTGATTTCTAGGAATGAAATAAGCTCCTTTTCTGATCTATGTGAATTTGTGCATATCCGTACAGTGAATGGTTTAATAATACAAAAAGCTTTTTTCTTATATTTCTCTTTCCAAGTCTGTGAGGCCTTAGAAACGACTTACGGCTTGTCACTTCTGTTTCCAGTATAGCAAAATCACCCTTTAGCTTAGTTGTGAGATATTAAATGCTTTCACTTTACAAACTAGAACAAGTTAAGGGCATTCACTATCTGATTTTGGGTTTGTACTAGGATAAGAGCTAATGCAATTAAATTTGAAAAACAAATTAGTCTTAATATCTACAAATGAAGTGGTAAAACATTTGTGTCTCTTCAGATATAAGATTAACATGTAAAAAACCAGGATAGCTAATGGAAAATCTACTGGAACAGTAAAAAAAATTCATTAATTGTAATAGCAATAACAAATCAATGGATTTCATATATACATATCTAGATATATACATACATATATGTACATACAAGTATACACATATGTGTTTATGTATTTGTGTATATATACATATATACATATATACTAAAATATATATATAACATATATAGATATAATATATATAAAATATATACATATATATATACACTAAAATTAGTTACAAGATAAATAGAAGAGAGGCATCATTTACACTGTTAAACTAGTGCCTAAATAAGATAATGAAATACATAAAAGGCCAAAATGTAAAGTTAATAAATATGTCTAAAACTTTATGAGAACTATATAGAGAATTCCTGAAAGACACAAGAATATTTTAAAAAATTTTCTATTAATCTAGAGAATATATTTTGTGTAACTCTGTAGCCACAATTTCAAGAAAATAACCACACTTCCCTCACTCAGATGGAAAGGGATGCTATATCCTTGTACAGAGGAAGTTAATATCAGATGCCAATGCTTCCAGAAGAAATTTATGAGTTTGATGGCTATTTCTCTTTTTTTCACTCTTCATTTTCTTTTTAATTTTGTTTATATAATTGAAAGGGATGCACGCCCATGTGGGCCCCAGATCAGGGTGGAGAGGGTCAGGTATGGTGAAAGGTGAATTGGATTCTCTTCAATTCTCTTTCTCTCCTGTATCCACAGGAAGGAGAGGAGGCCATTCCTTGCCATCAAACCATATTAGCACTCAGGGATGGAGGACAGTTCTTTGATGATGCCCTAGAGACCCCGGTGAGGGGAAGAGTGTCCCAAGGGTGTTACTTGAGTGGTTTTTCTAATTCAATGACATATTTTAATTCTGCATACGAAAGCAATGTAGTATTGAAAATTTAATATCAGTAATATTGGTATTATTGGACAGCCACAGAGAAATTTTTTAATTGTAATGGCCTCTCAATTAACAGGTATTACATATATGTATATGTATTATGTGTGTATTTATATATGTACACATATATATGCATGTATATATGATGACATATTACAAATGGATAGGAGACATAGGTATAAAAATACCAAATTATATCAATGAAATGGAGTGATTTCCTTTATCATCTGGAAAGGAAAAACTTTCATATTTATGATTCAATAGCTAAATATTTTACAGACTAAAATTTCAATATGCAATGAATGTTTTACTTGTCTCATCCTAGTGTAGTATTGAAACAGGATTCAAACATTTGCATATCTTACTACAAAGGAGATCTTAAACAAGTCACATCTAATCAAAACTCTACTAAAAACATAACATTGATTCTCATTTCTCTCTGAATAAAGAGCTTGGATGCTAACAAGAAACAGGCTTTTTTTTTTTTTTTTGGCTGTTTTTTTTTTCTGCTTTCCTCTTTAGCCTTGCATTTTTCAAAACTCAAATTACGCTTTTTAAAGTCTCTCCCCCTCCCTCTTTCTCTACCTCTTTTATAAGCATATGTGAAATTTTGACTTTTTTTTTTTTTGGCAACTCATTTTTTTCCCTGAAATCTTTTTTTTTCTCTTCTCATACTCTTTCCCTTATCATTATCCTATTCAAAATAAATATAACTTATCTTTCATACCTAGATTTAGATGTCCTTACTTCCAGACCCATGACCACTAATCCAGGTTAAGTCAAACAATGGGCTCTTATTGTAGAGGCCCAGACCCTTCCATATCACACTATTGAACCTGCTTGCTGTGCCTTCTGCTATCTGCATACCCTCTACTCTGTGAGAGCAAGGGCCAAGCTGCTTTGCTCACTTCAAAGTTTATTACAAAGCTTAATACAGACAAAGAAAACCTTAAATGTTTCTTGAATGGGGAAATAATATTACTTAATTTTGTAAGCCTCAGTATTCCAAATACAAAGACTACTGAAACTAACAGGGCTGAACCTGGGGTGCAGAAGTTATGCTATCATCTCCAATGCCAGCATTATCAATCGGAGACCCAGCAGGAGTCTTGGCTGTGCTCCTTCTGACCCAGATGTCAACTAATGAAACTAGGAAGGTAGCAGGAAGTGGAACAATACATGGTCCCCTGACACTCATGTAGAGCCCTGAATGGAGCTCTGGGATCCGGGCTTTGGCTTTGTTTGGCCTTGGCTGTTGTAGGCATCTGTGGAATGAACCAGTTGGTAGAAGATCTGTTTCTCTTTCTGTCTCTCCCTCTATTTTTGTTACTCTGCGTTTTAAATAGATAAAAAAATAAGCCTATTAGAAAAGAATACTAACACTGCCAGTTTCTTTAAATGGTTTTTGTAAGGATAAGTTGAATGGCAGTATATGGAAATATATATATATAATTTATTTATTCTGATTAGTCACTATAACATGTATGTATATATTAAAGCATCACCTGAAACTTAATAAATATGTACAATTTTATGTATAATAAAATTTTAAAGACTTATTTGTTGTTTTTGGAAGTCAGAGATATAGAAATAAACAAGAAAAGACACAGATCTTCCACCTACTGGTTCACTCACAAAGATCAGTTCTGTTCCAGACCAAAGCTGGAATTCAAAACTATGTCTGTGTCTCTTACGTGGATGGCAGGGAACCAGACACTTGGATCAACTTCTGCTTTTTCCCAAACCATCATTGGGGAACTGGATTGAAATTGCAGCTGCTGCAACATGAACCAACATGCAAATGAGATGATAGCATCTCATGCAGTGGCTTTACCTTCTATGCTGTCCCTTAATTTTTTTTCATTATACAAAACATGAATGACCAAAGTAAAGCCTCCATATTTTGCCTTTTATGAGGCAAATCACATATAAGTAACTAGTGATATTTTAATGCTTATTCTAGAGCTCTCTCTTTATTATCAACTCTAGACAACATCTTTATTTTTTTATAGAATAAGTCAGGACTATAAAGCACAACACACAGGTGACCACACACACACATGTTGCTCACTATGACTACCAATTGAATACAGACACTTAGTTTCAGAGAATCCTTCTTGTTCTGTCTCCTTTAAATTACCTAATATTTTTTTTTAAAATTGACTCATTATACAAAGTTTTGTTTTAATGAAGTACAAAACAGCAACAGACATGTAACCATTCCCTTTGAAAGAAGAGTTAGTTATAATTCCTAAGAGAAGCAGACTTGCCATATTATGCATGACCACATGGGGAGACACCACCTTCACTCAGAGAAGGCCAGCAAAAGCAAAGCCTGGACTACACACTTTTTTTGGAATTTCTCCAAGAAAGGCAAGGCAATCTAGGTTAAACAGCCAGGCTTTAGGCATGGATACTGACACTAGTTGTCTGAAGCCTGGTCATAGGTTTATTGTTGGCAGGGAAAACATTGGCTTAGAGCATGAGAGACAAGTTCAAAAAATGAAAGATGCATTTACAAGCAAGGTATTAGCCATCTCTAGGAATGAGTTAGTCCTGGGAGGGGTAGTCTCCCTAGCACCAAGATAGCATCCTCTCCAAGATGACAAAACATCATAAAAATAAAAGACCTTAACAAATGAAAAACACACCATGCTCTATGGCATGATGGAATGGGATTTCATCATTAGGTCTAATTTCATTCTATTCAACTGTAACTTTATATGTGACTCTGCACTATTTTACAGGTAGTTCATCATTCATTCTACTACAACTTTTAAGAACATTGCTTCACGTACAATACTCTTTTCTTCATCTATTCTGTTCCATTGTTGTCAAAGCTCAGGATCACCTTTGGTGCCCTTCCTGGGGCTGCCAACTCAAGCAGCCTAGGGATACTCTTATCACTAATATAAACTTGTTTTCAGTTCACACTCTGCCTACTTTTGGTTATGGACATCTTTTCTTGCATAAATGCATTCGTCTAACTTATGTTACCTAAATAATACTGAAACTGGTGTTGAAGCAAGCTTCTTACAAGAGTGAATTTTATTTAGAAGTAAAATTGTCTTTAAATAATTTAGTTAGCTTTCTCATAGTCTCCCTTCTCTCCTCTCTCCCTTCCCCTCTTCTGCTACTGGTTTTTGTTTGTTTTTGTTTCTTTAAGGTCTCCAGATGGACAAATGTCCATTGCAGCTCTGTGCCTACCGGAGACCAATCATTATCCTATTTGCATGACTTTCCCAGGAGAAAGCTTCGAAATCAGTCCTTGGAACAGATGGCAGTGGCTGGATCTGAACAACCTGAGGTGTGTACTCTAACAGCAACTGGCTAGTGTTTTCGTTGTATATGAAGTGGTACTATTTGTTGACTGTACTTTTTGATGCAGAGTAATTGAAAAGGTGGTTTGGGCATGGCCTAATAGACACCAGATTTCACATGTCTAGTCAGCGTTTCAGGAATTATCCTTGGGGAGTTTGCAGGCCAAATCTAAATGCCTCGACTGAAAACCTCATTCTCCTACTTTCCTTTCCAAAATACCCTGAGCATGAAAGGCATTGCACCCTTGATCTGCAATCTAGCATTAATCCCCCCAAATTCAATGTGTCTCCTAGTTTTGATATTCTAAATTATTACAAATCAAAAAGGTACACTGTAAAAGACAGCCAATTGACTTGAAAGAATCTTCTTTGGTTTTCTTTCTTCTCCTGAGGGAACAGATTGAAGGCATGGTAAACCCATGAATAGTCACAGTTTGAGCACCTGCCTGCAGGTACTGACACCTTGTTATGAAAGTCGCTACTCCAAGAGTAGCAATGTGCTTCTCCTTCCTGTTTGATGTCTTTAGCATCTTGTTTTAGATCCATGCTGTTGTTTTTGCCTTTTTTCCTCATTGTTACTTTAGGATATTGACCAGAAGCCAAGTGGAATCACAGAGGAAGACACTTTGCTTCTTGCTGTTGTCAGAAGAGAACTCAAATCACATGCCCTGAGTTCCAGCTTCTTGGATAAGCTTCAAGAAGAGCTGCAGATCCTGGACCCTATCTCTTCAGGGTGTCTTCTGCAGTCCCAACTGAGCCACCTCTTCCTGAGACATAAAGTTCCTCTGCAGTTACCAACAGTCAAGATTCTTTGCCAGCGATTTTCTAGGATGTGCTCCCCTGAAATGGTAGGGCTATGATCTATCTTTAGCCACTTTTTTTTAAAAAAAGATTTATTTATTTTATTACAAAGTCAGATATACAGAGAGGAGGAGAGACAGAGAGGAAGATCTTCCGTCCGATGCTTCACTCCCCAAGTGACCGCAACAGCCGATGCTATGCCGATCTGAAGCCAGGATCCAGGAACTTCTTCCGGATATCCCATATGGGTGCAGGGTCCCAAAGCTTTGGACCATTCTCTACTGCTTTCCCAGGCCACAAGCAGGGAGCTGGATGTGAAGTGGAGCTGCCGGGATTAGAACCGGCGCCTATATGGGATCCTGGGGCGTTCAAGACGAGGACTTTAACTGCTAGGCCATGCCGCCGGGCCTGGGCTATGAACTATCTTAAGTGTGGTTCTTTTTTTTCTGTTACTTTTGCTGGTCATCACCAGGGTGATGGTACTAAGATGCTAGTTTTTCTTAAGAGTCGCTTGTACTATGGACCCCTAAGGTAAAATAGTTTATTTATATGACTCAGTGGAAGATTCTAATTAGGAAAATAAAGCTAGGCATTTCAGCCCAGTTTAATTGCTCTTTAAATGGTTTTCCTATTCCAAATGTTATCATCTAATTCTGACACTGAGGAAAGTTGTGGACTCAAAATGAGGGACCTGCTTGCTTCCATTCATAAAGCAGCTCAACCTGTAAGTCCCCAGTACGAATGGAAACTGTTTTCTGTTTTGAGACAGATCCTTAGATAATTGAAAGCAGGAAATATCTTTGAAATGTAATCCACCATCGCCATTTTACTGATTTGGAAACAGGAACAAAGAGGTTGTCATGAGCCTACTCAACACACCCAAGGCATTAACGGCAGATCTAATATTGAGACACAAGCTCATCAAAAGGGTCTTTAGACATTGTTTTTTTTTTTTGGAAACTCATATGTGTGACTGAATATAATGTTGTTTAAGTATAACAACATTAAAATATAAAGAAGAAAATATTTAAAAAATTGGGAGAAATAATAGCAGTAAGCAAATCTTCAGTGCACACCTGTCAACAGCAAGGCAATGGTAAAACAATCCTTACATTAAATTTTTACTTATTTATTCGACAAAGAAAGTTTCCATCAGTTCTCTCTTAAAGTGCCTGCAATGGCTATGGCTAGACTGGGATAAATCCAGTAGCCAGGAATCTAATCCAGATCTCAACTTCAAATGATCTGTTTCCCCAGATCATTCATTCACAGTAAGCTAGAATCTGTTCTTGTCTTACCCCAGGCTTTAATACTAGCTCCAGCATTCTTACCTCTGCACCAAGGGGCTCGTTCTATTTGATTTTCTGATACATGTTTATAAGGTCAACACTGATCTCCTAGAAAAGGTCACATGATTTATTAAAAAGATAAATGTGAATTATAGGGCTTATCAGATGCTCAAATATGTATTCTCTCTTCTGCTAATGTCAATTATTACATAATGGAGTTAGCTGTATATTTATAAGAAATGATTAGCAATGCGATATCAGTTTATTTGTACAATCTGTGTGAATCATTAGTCAATCATATTTTGGGGAGAAATTTAGTTTATAGCAAGGTCCCTGTGTAACTTTACTCCCTCATTGCTACCTCCTCTACCATACCAGAATTTTTTGGCCATATCATGCCAGATACATTATGGTGCCATCTGACCCAGGAAAGGAAATGATCTCCTATGTAGAAAAAATAGTCTTGAATGCTTCAACTAGTCGAACAAATTATTGACCCAGAAAAAAACTTAATGTATCTGCTAAATACATTTAAATATAAATTATATTCTGTATAATAAATATACTACACATGAGACGGAGAGAAGAGAGGAGTTGAGACTAGGATGTGCCAATACAAATTACCCCAAAGTAGTCATAATGGCTGAAACAACAAAAGTTGATCTTTGCATTTACACTGAATTTCCATAATATGTCAACAGGCACTTATAATCTTGCCCAGGGACACAGCCTGATTAAACAGCACTCTAGATTATTTTTAACAGAAAAGTGAAGGAATAAAATGGGAGCTCTGGATGGTCTCCTGTTGCTAGTTTACTCCTTGACCCAAAAATGGCATACATTATTTATGCTCACAACTCATTTGCTCAGATTTGTCACATGCTCTGACCTCAACCCAAAGTCAATGAAGAAATGCACTTTTACCCTTTGCCCAAAAGGGAGAATAATAGGAATTTTTGGTTAAAAGAAAAGGAAAAGAACAAAGGAAAGAAAAAACGCCACCAATCCATATTAAACTGAGAACTGAGTTTCATAAATAAAAAATTGTTCAAAACTTTCAATTTAAAAAATCTCCAAATATATTTCTATATAAGCGAGCATCTTCCCTTTACATGTAAATCAAATGAGGTTGATGTAGTTTATATTTGATTTTTCAGGTGGATTACAGAAAGCTACTCTGCTTTCTAAAAGATGCAATATCGGGTGATTCACTGAAGAGTCAATCAGGTGCAGACAAGAACATGAGGGTAGTTCAGAGCCACAGCAAGCATCAGCAAAGGTATTTTCTCTCTGCGGTGTGTGTGTGGGGGGTATAATTCTCTGCTATCCTCATCCAGTGCCACAGACTAAAATCAAATTTATTTTTCACAATTCTGGAGGTTGAAATTCAAAGATTTTTGCCAGCAAGGTCAAGTTCTGGTGAGGGCCCCCTCCAGGCTGCGAAGTGTACATTTCTCCCTGAGTCCTCACATGGCATGAAAACAACCTGCCAGTTCTCTGCCTTCTACTTTAAAGAGCATAGTCCCATTCATGAAAACTGTGCACTCTTGCTCTAATTGTCTGCTAGACCCTTACCTCTGAAGAGTACCATGTTGCAATGAAGGTTTGACAGGTGTAGCCAAACAAACATGCAGTTCTAAACCCTAGAGCTGGCAGGGATCTCACAAGAATTCCCTCTAAAGCTTCACCCTATACAGAATCACTTTGCGCTTTAGCAATTCTTGGCTCAGGTCTTTAGTTTTCTTTCTTTCTCTTTTGTATTCAGGCCAACACAGAAAGTTATTTGCAGCCATTGCATATGTTTCTTAACATTAAGCATGTGTTCTTTTTATGAGGTTGCCATGTGAAAATGAAAAACCTCATTATGGAGCAAAAAAATGATTGTGTACGGGTGCAGAGATTGTCTGTAAATGTGACTCCAAAAATATGTTCTGTCCATGAACTCCTAGGTTACCAATACCAGCCAGAGAAAGGTTTTAAACTCAGGAAAAAATAATCCCTCAAAGCCCTTCAGGCAAACAAATGACTCCAAATAAAAACAGGATGTGATGAATATCAATAAAAATAAAGCACAGAAAGTAGAATATTCACCATGGTTACACAGAGAGAGAGAGTGCAATATTTTGGAGGATAACCTTCCCCAGAAACCAGGACTCAACTGTTGACTCTGCCTCTGAGTGCCTGTGTGACTTGGCATTCACTTAATCTCTCTGGACATTCTTCACCTGTAAAACGGAGATGATAATAAATGCCACCATACTGATTTGTAAGATGAACTGCATTATCTTCATAAAAATAGCGTTTGGTACCTAGTTAGTGCTATGTATGTATGGTCATACTTTTAAAATAATCTCTGAGAAAAAAAATCACTCTGCAGTTATCAGAATGTGATATCGCATATAAGAGTCATGACACTGGAGCTAACCACTTCACTTTGGAAAAATATTCCTCAGCTAAGTAGTCTATGGTGCGTGTCTTTTAACCCTGATACTTCATACAACATTCATGGAACATCAGCTGCCCCTCCGTTCCTTGTTGCTGCACATAGTGAATTCCAAGGTTAGCAGGCCTGCTTACTTTTTCAAGCACTGTTAGTTCAAAACAAACAACAAACAGTAACATTGCCATGCAGATACTCGAGCCAAATATCACCCTGAGAATAACTGTCCTCCTGAGGGCAATAAAGCCCTACAAATGTTTAATAGTCAGGAATCATCCTTTATATAATACAGATTGTGAAATACTGGCTGGGAGAGGGATAGAGCATGCAGTGCAACTCCTCTCCATGAATTGGCAGACACAGGTCTTACAAGTGCTATGGAGGAAAACTTTCCTGACCCCTGAAGATAATTTTATTTCTTGGTTATGCAGTCCTGTAGTATTTTTCCTCCCTAACAATCATTAAACTTTAAAGGTATTTATTTGACACTTAGGTTTAGAAATATCCCTGTCCTAAATCTTTAGCAAAGTTTTTACATAAAATATAGGACATGCTCAATACATATATGTTGAACGTGATTAACACAAGTAATTACTTAACGATTTCACATCATTTTACTTGCAGGAACACCTGAACATCTCCTCTACTAAAAAGAAAAAAAAAAGAATGCATAGGAGATCATTCTGAATCTATCAGAGAAGTTCCTGCTTTCTGTAAGCTAGACAGTGTGCTTGTAGAACACACTGATGGGCTGATGGCTGGTAATGAGCCATGCTTTTCATTAATTATTCTGCATCTCAGGAAACTTCACTCATCACAGTCTAATAGGTAGGACCTCTAACAGTGTAGCTCTGTAATACTTTAAAGGATTTCTGATTTGCCAAGGACAGCAGAGGGAGTAGCAAGGGTTCCAACATTTCTCATCCCCTAAACTGAACCTGATAAAAGAAACCCTTGCACTACATTCTCTAAGAAACTCCACCAGCTGGAACAAATAGATTTCACACACGCCTGCCCATTCTTTACTCAGTATACTGAGCCAGGGGCTAAAGCCTCATGAATTCTCCCAAGCTCTAACATTCCAAAGAAAAAGTAAAGGAAGGAAAATTTCAGATTTGATTCAGAGACAACGACAGTTGATTGGCTGAGTTATGGGCCAGGGATATGGGCCCTGGTTCTGAAGACTGTTAAAGCAATCAGCTGACACTGTGCCCTTCTAGAGATAGAGGAAACTCTGTCTTGGGAGCTAGGGACTATTTGAGCAAGGATAATGCTAGAGAAGTTGCTGACCAAAGTGAAGACACATGCCTGATATTCTTCTCATGCACAGAAATTTTTATAAAATATTACAAATAAGTAGTTCAGAATAGTATAATCAGGGACAGAAGCTTGTATATGACTCACAGAAAAAAAATACATGACCTTTACAACAGTTTATATAGATATAAAACTAGTTAATCTCACATACTAGCCAATGTAATAGATAAACCAGTCTTGACCCATGGAGCAATCTGTTGAGGTGTCGTATTTGAGACAATAACAAAAGAACCAGAGATGAATTGCAATTTAGGCAAGGGTATTAATGAAATGATCAAGGCAATAAGAAACAGTGTGTCTGGCAGAGAAGTAATAGGGCATGCATTAAGTTTAGACAGGCACAGTCTCTTGCTAGCTCCTCATTCATAGATGGTATATGGGTAGCTTGAAATCAACCATGGAGAGAGTATTTGTACAATGGAAATTGGTAATGCTGCAAGTTAGTTTTTCTTGAGAGAGGGCTTTTAAGACTTACAGGTATTAATGGAAAGAAAATTGGTTTGCCTGTACAAATCTGGAGGCTATGAATTATAGACTGTTTCTCAGAGAAAGTAGCATTTAAGTACAAATAGTAGAAGCCATGAAAACTTTCAGAGTGCCAATAGAACTCTGACTCCGACTACAAGGGCCAGGGCAGTGGTGCAGCAGGCTAATCCTCCACCCCGTGGTGCCAGTATCCCATATAGATATCCCAATTCAGATCCAGCTCTCCGTTCTTGACCTATGTAGGCGGTGGAGGATGGCCCAGGTCCTTGGAACCCTGCATCCATGTGGGAGATGAGGAAGAACCTGCTGGCTCCAAGCTTCAGATCTGCTCAGTTCTGGCCATGTGGGGAATAAGCCAGCGAATGGAAGGCTTTCTGTCTCTCTTTATCTCTATAAAATCCTGCCTTTCAGATAAAAGATAAATATATTTTTTAAAAAATAACTGACTATAACATTGTATCACACTGTTGTTTTCATCTATTAAAGCAAAAGTCAGAAAAACTATCTTAATAATTATATATACTTTCATGTCAAATTGTAACCCAATAATTATTCCCAAAGAATTGATGAGCTTCTCAGATATAAAGACTAAAGTCAATGATGACGCAGAATGTTCTGTGGTTCAGGATGTCTTCCTAAACAGGTTCCTTGGTTACAGGCTTTATGAAGGATCTACTTGCTTTGTTTGCTTTGCTTATCACCATGGATTGTTTCAAAATTTTCCATTGTTAAATGTATTAACTTTAAGACAAATTAATTGAATCAAGAAATGATTATGACTGCTTATGTTTTCTCTAAACCTAGGGAAAAGGAACTATACAGGTGGCTTAAGGATTTTGACCTATATCATGATTGAATTGGTTGGCACATCCTGTAACATATAGAGCTCAATTAGGGGCAGTAGATTTGAGTTACCAATGAAATTTCCACGGGCAGTCCCAGCACCAGGTGATGAGGATTGTGGCAGGCCTCCATAAGTGGGTTCTCTGGTTCAGCAGTGTAAAGTTGCCAGACATGGCTGAAAGCGTGCGGCTGTTTGGGGTAGACCCTCTTTTCTTAGTTTTTTTCTCTGCCTTGTTCCCACCAGACTTTCACCTCAAGACTCCAGCTCACCGACAGAAGTGAACAAGGATCTGGTGGGGATTTTGAAAATGGCATTAAGGACAGCCAACAGTAAACTCAACATAGAAAATCTCAATCTGAGTTTTCGAAAAGAAGATCGCTCCTTCTCTGGCTGTCTCCCCCCACCCAAGGTAACCAAAATAAGATTTCAAATGTGTGCAGTGTTAAAAATGCTACTTCAGAACATTGGGTATAAAGTGAGAAGGCAGAGTGATAATCTGAATTTTGTGTGTGGATTATATTATGCAAGCATGTGCTTAGGAAAAAACAGAGAAGGAATTATGAAATATGCATAGTTCATTTGGAAACTGTTTCAATTGTGCTAAGTTTTATGTTAATAATAGAATAGATGAAAATATAGAAATAATATTTCACAATGGAAACAAGTTTTTTTGAAGACCAAATGTTCATTTTTTATTCCATCTCCCAGCTTCAAGTGAAACCAGCTTGAGGTGTCTTATTCCTCAGGAGCATCTGATGTAAACTGATGTAATTTATTGCTGACAGAAGTTAGCATGCTGTTTTGAGCAATAATTAGCAGCAAAGATGTATGTTACAGAAGAGGATTCAGAAACGTATTAACTCATCTATCTTCTGTAGTTAAACAAATTCTAATCACAAAGGTAACTTGGATACTGGTAAAATAATTGCCAGTTCTAAGTGTCAAACATTTTGCTAAATGCTTTGATTACCTGAACTCATTCACTTCTTTTGTTTCATTGTCTTGTCTTCAGGGCATCGAAAAAAGTTTACACTGAGAAACAACTCTACCAATATTACAACTTCACAATTACATCAGTTTCTTCGAAAGATTCTGAGCTGAAAGCTTGGAACTTAATGGGTTAACACCTATAAAGTTAATCCCTTATATTGTTATTATACCCACTTCATAACTAAAAAATGTTAAAATGTGTAGAAGCCGGTTGAATCACCGACAGACTAACAAGACAGAACCAAGTCTTGAAACTGAGAGCCAGAACTAAAAATTAGGTGGTATGTGGAAGGTTCCAGTGAACACAAGGCACAAGTTATAAATCTAGAAAATTAGAAATTACAGAAAGAAAACATCGGTGAGAAATAGCAAATATATCCTTCACCTAAGTATGTGGGATTAAAATTGAGTTACATCATTTAAACTGATGGTGATATTTACTAATGGGAGCAAGAATACACTGTTACATTTGGGTTCTTGTATTCTGGTACAAGGCAGATTTCTCTGATATATCCTTTAAATAATCAACTGCATAAAGCAAAGCGTATGGTAGTTTAAATGCATTATGTGTGTTTGTGTGAGAGAGAAGGATAGAATAGTAATAGTACACATGTAACCAGAAAGAGGCAGAGAATTTCAGGGGAGTTCATATGTCATTAGAAGCCTTTACCATGTATGTGAAAAGATCTAAATCTAACAAATACGACACTTTGGGCCCAGCTCAGTAGCCTAGAGCCCAAAGTGCTCACCTTAAATTGCTCCAGGATTCCAGATGGGTGCTGATTTGTATCGCGGATGCTCCACTTGCTTTCCAGCTTCCTGCTTGTGCTTGAGAAAGCACCAAGTAAGAGACTGCTTGAACACCATCATAGCCACTTGGGGGGTGAAACAGCAGATGGATGATTTTCTAATAAAAATAGTGAGTCTTAACAACAACAACGAAGACTTACTTAAAAAAAAAAAGGTATACTCCTTTATTAGGCTAGAAACCACATGACAACATTAGTGAAGCTTAAATTTTTTCAGATGAAGCAGAATGACTTAAAATGCATTAGTGAAGCTTTCTAAATCTCAGATTTTCATCTAGAGAAACTAGGATCTTCTACGTGCCTAGGATGTCTTCTGCGAGAAAGAAATAAAATAAGTACACAACAGCACCTAGCATTACCACCTAATATACAAGAATTAGTGAACTGCTGGTTTCCTGTCTTCTGAATTTTTTTAAAAAGTTAATGTTTCGTGAGAATCTCACATCAAAACAGCCTAGGGAAGGAGTATCCCTCCCATGGTCAAGTAGAGAACATATCAAATCTTGACTGTCAAGGAAAGCTTTAAATGTTATTCCTATACACTACTGACCCTGAAAACTTGACTTTGTGGTTCAGATCCAAAGAAATGGAACACATCTTCCTTGTCTGCCTTTTGTGAGCCATCTGGCATCTCTTAAGACATCTGGAACCCACTCAGAGTACATTACAGTTCTGGGATACACGTAAAACAAAAGTTCATTTCCCAAAATGTAGGGCAAATTGAGGTTGCTAGAAAAGGCAGCAACAGTCGTGCCCAACTTCCTTGCTCCTGGTCAAAGAATTTCAGAGTTATCTTGGAAAACTTTATCTGAAATATAAGGCGCTGTGTGTTTGTTTCGGGGAGGAAGGTGAGACAAGGACGTTAGTTCTTTTTTTTTTTTTTTAAAGATTTATTTTTATTATTTTTTCATTGGAAAGGCGGATATACAGAGAGGAGAGACAGAGAGGAAGATCTTCCGTCTGATGATTCACTCCCCAAGTGAGCGCAACGGCTGATGCTATGCCGATCCGAAGCCAGGAGCCTCTTTCGGGTCTCCCACATGGGTGCAGGGTCCCAAAGCTTTGGGCCGTCCTCGACTGCTTTCCCGGGCCACAGGCAGGGAGCTGGAAGCCGGGATTAGAACCGGCGCCCCTATGGGATCCTGAGCGTGCAAGGCGAGGACCTTTAACCACTTGCGCCACCGCGCCGGGCCCAAGGATGTTAGTTCTTAATGTGCTTGTAGTCAGGAGAAAGAATCGCAGTCTTTCTCAAGTTTTCCATGAAAGTATGCACTCTTGCCAGAAAATATATTTTAAAAAATTGAAGTAAAAATACAATATTCACACAGCCAAGATTTTAAAGATAAATTAATCTTCTTAAAGGATAGTTCTATGGGTAAAATAATTCATGTCAGTGTAATTGGACATTAACAAAAGACTATCAAAGTGTATAAGATATTTATCGTCATCACTTTGTACGGTTCTTGTCTTGCTCATTTAGACCTCATCAATGCAATGACGGTTTCTGACAGGACTGATGAGACAATGTGAATCTTCCTTTGTTGATTAACCACCTGACCATGATTCAACCTCAGGATTGATTAAATAGAAATAAGTAGCTCCTAAGCATGCAAGCTCAGTTTAGCCCAATTATATGTAATCAATATTCTTTATATCTTCAACCCAGTCTCTTCCACTTCATATAATCATCCCCTCCTAGTCTTCGCCCATACTTTCCTTTGAGGAAGATTAGCTAAAAGACACTTTGCTCTACCTCTGATTTTTCTTTGATTCTTTTTAATCACTAGAGAAAGTCCTGTTACTGGGCTAACCAAGGTTTGTGAAAGTGAAGTTCATTCTTGTGACAAGACTCCAACTAGGACCTTGGCTTACCTACTGAACCAGGACATTCTTAGGCAGTTTCCTAAGCTCCTTTTTCAAATTCATTGTTTCTGTATCTGTACACTGTACCTTAAAACTATAAGAGCATTTCTGCTAACTTTGACTCCTTTCCTACCTTCAATGAATTATCATGTCTTTATGATCAATATATGTTCACTCTCTTCTTACCTTCAACCTAATATCACTCAGTGTGTTCTAATCATTGTGATAGATGCTGAGGAATAGATGCTTTAACGATTTCATTCCCGAGTTCTCCAGTGACTTTGAACACAAAGAATTAATAATAAAATGGCCTAGTCTGAATGCTCTCCAGAGCACATGGTACAAATACTGACTCTTAAAAGAGACATCTCTTTTTTTGGCAATAAATACTGACGGAAGGGCAGGAACAGTGGAAGGGATAGTAATATTGTTGCAGGTAAAGTGAATAATGTGAATCAACTCTGTCATGATAGATAGCATGGCTAATTTAGGAAACTCCTATTAAGTTGTCAACTTCTAAAGTTGACTTCCGAATAGAAGATAGGAGTTTCTTGTGAAGGCTCATGATAACTAATAGAAATTTTATCCTAAGGCCCAAAGGAATCATTGAAGAATGATTATCATTAAATAAGTGAATCACATGATCATTGAAATTTGAAAAAGTGTTCTAATAGAATTTAGAGAATTGGTTAGACACAGACAAAACTGGGGGCAAAAACATCTTTAGAAACTATTCCAGCAAACAGAGCAAGAAATGATGAGGGGCTAAACAAAGCACTGACAGGGGAGAAGGCTGTATTAAGGGAGCAGAAAAACATGTCTGGAGGCTAATGTGATGCAGACCAGAAATTAGGAGAAATAAGGAATGAATTCCAAACCCAGTTCTGATTTTGGCCACTTGAATCACGATGCCATTTCCCCCAGTAACAAACCAAAAGGAAGTCATTTGAGTCATTACAAAGGTTGACTTCAGTTTTGAAAAAGGTTGATCTTGGTACACAGATGTAAACTAAATGAAGACTGAAGTAGAATGGGAGTAGTGAAGATTACTGAAACATACAATGAAAATTGAGAAGGGAAAAGGTTAACGGGGCACTCACTGTTAAGACTAAGCAGTGAAGAGAACCCAACATAGGAAATCGAAGGCAGGTTCTATAATTGGAAGAAAGACAAAACAGGAGTTCAGAGAAATAAGTCATGGCCATTTCTGACACATATTGCACAAATAAAATTTAGAGTTATGGTTGGAAAATATTTGATGATTGTAGAACCATTAATATTCCTACTAATCTAGCAAAAAAGAGAGTGATAACATGAAATGTGGAGCTGTATTAGGAAAACAGGCTATGACAGTGTACGTCACTCTTTCAAGGAACATTATGAGGAAATAAATGTTCATCTTAATACCATTTTAAAAAATATTTAATAGCCTTTTTAAAAGTATTTGTTTATTTATTCTTTTTCCATATAGACTGGGATTCCCCCAAGAACTCAAACCCGCCAACAGATTTTTCCCATTTTACCACATTGGTATAGTCCTTCATAATGAATCATAATTCCATCAGTCTCTTATTTAAGTGTACTCTGACATTGCTGGTACAGATAATGTCAGACAGCCTAGCATCCCATTGTTTATACATTTCCAGCAATTTCATTGTGAATCCGTCTTTCATCTGGAAGCAGGGCAGCATGTTGCATTATACGCCCACATGTGTATATGATAGACCCCAGTACGCCATCATTATATATTTCCATAGTTGAGAAGCCATTAAACAAGGTCAACAGCTGGTATGAGTTAGAACAACAGCCACAACAGCAACAACTACAACAACATCAACAGGAGAGGCAGAGAGTAGAGTTGACACAGTGGCCCAGAGAGGGCTCATTTCTGGCGGATCACACAGAACTGATCCAGCGGGGAGGGTAGCACCAGCTTCACTCCCTGCAGGGTCTGTGTGGTCCTGGAGCTGAAAGCCGGCAGCCCCAATTCTCCAGAAGTGCCCCATTTTAATACCATTTTCAAAACAAGATTGAATCTATTATTTTTTATTAAAAACATTTCTCTAGTAAATAGAAAACGTGAGCACCTTTCTTCTAGCGGTCAGCATTATAAATATACATGCTTAATAAAAAATGTTGAATAATACTTACATAGTAGGCTGTTGGAGCAGATGTTTCCATTTGCTCCCCTACAACCATCAGCAGTAACCAACAGCAGTGAGCTTTTAGCAGCGATTATTCTGTTTGCTTCTAGGAACCCAGTTGTACAATTTCTAATCTGCAGTTCACTTTATCCCAGAGCAAAACTCACTGTTTGCAGAACACCCTCCCTCTCAATATTGATGTTTTAAAATATGTCAGTATGCTTTTATTATGGCAATAATCCAGTTCTTTGTGGACTAAAACGGCAAAATGTAACCAATTTCTACTTCTCTATCTGTGTTTTTGTTCATATCCACCAGTACTCCAAACCTCAGTGATCTTGATTCATCAAATCACTTCTTTATTCACCCACCTGTTCATTTATTCAGCAATTATTGATCCTTTACTCCTTAAGACTGTGCTAGGAAATGATGATAAGAAAATAAGTGAAGCAATTGCATCCATGAGAAAGCTGTTGTCTTGCAGAAAACTCAAATAACTGTCCTGGAAAAGCATGAAGAAACAATAGGGGAGTGAATATTATTTCTAAAAACTACAGAATTCTCTTACTGCTGTTTGCAATTTTTTTTCTCTTCCCTAGCATTCTCCCCAATTCTTTATTCTTCTAGCAAACTCACTGTTTCAGATATCAAATCAATATTTTTTCTAGAGGCTCCTTCCTTTAGATTATTCTTTTACAATTTTTGAACACAGATTTATTGTTATTCAAGTGGATGACATTTACATATCATAAGATAATCACCATTAAAATGACAAAAAGTGTCACAGTTACTACAAGGGGTTTTGACACACCAAGCAGGACCACACAAGAAAGCACCAAAGACAGTGGACAAGAATAAGGAATGTTGGAGAAAGGTAAATAAGAACTTTTGTAAAAGTGTATTGAGAAGCAATAAAGAAAGCAGATTAAACAGGCTTAGAACTGGCTAGTTTGAATAACTTTAGTGACTCCTAAGGTATTCTGTCTTGGCTAACCAGTTATTAGACACCTAACTTTCTGGTCTGAACTCAGGTTACATGGTTTGCATATTAAAAGTTTATATTCCAATGAGTTCTTAAGTGGTTCTAGAAATTCATTGTCCCTATTGTGACAATTAGATGGGCTAACAGGTAGTTGGGGTCAGGTGTGTGATAGAACGAGGCAAGGAAGAATCTGTGAAAGAGTGTGAGATGCTTGCTTCTGCCCAGAAGCAGTTTAAAAAGACAGAATACCAATCCTGCTCCTAAGTTTCTGGATTTAGCATGGGATTAGCAAGGACATAGTATGAGTTCACCCTTCTGAGTTTGCAGCTCATCATGAGAACAGAGATAAGTTGCAATCACATCTTCTGATGACTTTTTATTTTGAACAATCTAGACAAGATTACAATTCTTGTCCTTTAATAAGTTTTGTCCCACCCCTGTGATTAATTGTTAGCTGCTGTTCCATTTCCTACCCCTCAAAAAAATGTGCTTAGAAGATTCCACTTCAGCTAGATTTTCGGGTCTTCCTGTTTTAGAGTCCATTTTCTAACTGCTGTGGCAGCAGATTTTTGACTTCAATAAATCTTCCTTTGCTCACTGCTTCACCCAAACAGAAAAACTTTGATGTATGACAAAAAAGGAGATTGTCTTTCTTGGTCCTCTTTTCCTGTAATTTCCCTGTCCTTAACACTAAGAAGGACAATTTCTTCAAAGTTAAAAGGGTCCCCAAGTAAGAAAGCATCAGAATAACGAGTCTGCTTAATGCAGGCACTACACTGAACTTTCTGTAAAAATATTTTAACACTAGATATTCCTTTCTGACCCCTCTGATAAACTATTACCCTTCTTCCCTCCTCTCCTTTTCCTTTTCTCTGTCCTTCCTCTTTATTTCAGCTAACATTAATGGAATATCTATTAAGAGCCAGACACCATTCCGGGATCTTAATTTGTCATGTAATCTTCACAGAATCTGTGAAGCACAATATACTTACCTCATTTACTAGACAAAATAATCAGGCAAAGAATGATGTAGTGACTCTATAGTCATACAGACAACAGATTTGGTGTCCAAAATAAGATCTATTAAATACAAAAGTCTGCATATGTTTAGCAACTGTTTTGAACACACACAACATTCATTACCTTCCTAAAGGTTTGGTGCACAGTATTTGCCTCTAAATATCACCTACTGGAGCCTGATGCGACAGTGTAGTGGTTGAAGTCCTTGCCTTGAATGCACCAGGATCCCATATGGGTGCTGGTAATCCTGGTAGTCCCACATCCCATCCAGCTTCCTGCCTGTCACCTGGGAAAACAGTCAAGAACAGCCCAAAGTTTTGGGATCCTGCACTCGCATGGGAGACCTGGAAGAAGCTCCTGGCTCCTGGCTTCAGACTGGCTCAATTCCAGCCACGTGGTCACTTGAGGGGGGAACCATTGGACAGAAGAGCTTTCTCTCTGTTTCTCCTCCTCTCTGTATATCTGCCTTTCTAATAAAAATATAAAAATCTTTAAAATGAATAAATAAATATCACCTACCCAACTAGCCCAAAGCTGAACTGGCTTGCTGCTAAACTCACAACATATGAAGTAGCTGAATGCAATGCTAATTGGCTGAAGAAATATGCATTTAGCATCTTGTTTGTGCAATAAGTTCCATAATTTATTAGCTGTGCAAGTTAAGGAATATCTGACGTCTTTAGTCTTGGTTTTCTCATATATAAAATATAGATAGCTAATTCAACAATATAATTCTGTTAGGGACTGTAGATGATATAAGATCATTTGTTATTTACCTATATAATGATGTGTAGATAATTCCAAGGCTTTGACCACTTATTCTATGACTGATGAAAATGGAAAATTTGCATTTGAAAGCGTGATAGCTGTAAAGTACAAACTACACCTCTGTATTAACTAAATAAACCTTTGCTGATGAGAATCTTTCAGTTGGACACCCTTGTTCTGAGTGGCATTTCAATAGTTGAATTCAATAGTGGTACTAATTTTTTCCAAAATCCTACAGGTTCTAATTATAAGAGTAGAATTCATATCTTCATTTCATTCTGGTGAAACTTCAAATCCTTCCTTATTTTTAGGTGAGGGCTATTTGTGGGAAGCATGGTTTATATCTGACCTTGAGTCTTCTGGAAACATTGCTTGCTCATCAAGATCTTGGCTATCAAGATGAAATAAAGTAAGTTGACTTCCATTTCACACTAAATGGCTGTTACTCACAAATTCATTGGTGAACTCCTAATTCTCAATTTGATTATAATTAAGGTATGGTGGTTTTTGGAAGGTAATTAAGTTTAAATGAGGTCAATCAGGTACAAAATTAGTGATAGGATTAATGTTTTTGGACTAACACTCTTTAAACGGTTTCAAGTGTGGGCGGGCATTGTGCATCAGAATAAGTTTCCATCTGTGATGCTAGCATCCTAAATGGACATTGGTTGGAGTTCCAGCTGCTTCACTTCTGATCCAGCTCCCTGCTAACGCACCTGAAAAGCAGTGGAAGATGGTCCTGTGTGAGAAGTGCAGGTGGGGTTCTAGGCTTCTGGCTTCCACCTTAGCCCAGTTCCAGCTGTTGCAGCAAAAGGGGGAGTGTGTCAGCAGATGGTAAATCTCTTTTTCTGCCCACTGCCCTCCTCTCTGTCCCTCCCTGCATCTATAATTCTGATTTCCAAATATATAAAAATAAAACTTAAAAATGGTTTAAGGACAAAATAAGGAAAATGTGCTGTGAGATTTATAACATAGGTAAAAGTACAATGTTTGACAATAGTATACAGTGCTATGAGAGGGAAATAAAAGTCTATAAATGCAGTGTATCTTTATTTTAAAAAAGAATGTAATAAAATGTTCATGAAGAAGATAAAGTAAGAACAGTAGTATACTCAAATGATGAAGAAAATATAAAACAAGACGAAAGTGATTAAAAGAGTTCAGGCAATAGCAATCAAGCCTTAAAATGGTGGGTTTAAAACCAATCATATAAATAATTACATTAAATAAAAATTATTCCAATGTGCTACTTATAAGGAAACCTTTATGACTTCATTAAAGACAATCCAATTAAGTACAACAACAAAAACCAATAACAAATATAAATATATAGACAAGCCAAAAGAATGAAAAAAGATTTATGGAACTGAAGAAAGCTGCAGTGGCTTCCAGGCATATTGGACAAAGTTGATTCTGAGGTAAGAAATATTGTCAGAAAGCCATTTTCATCAAAAGAACATAGAGCCGGTAAGTGTTCATGCCCATGATACAACAGCTTCAAATGACATGAAGGAAAAGCACAGACCTGAAAAGAGAAATAGATAGCAATTGACAATTATAGCTGGATAAAGCAATAGCCCTCTACCAGTAATTAAAAGAAAAATTAAGAATAAAAGATAAGTAAACACAGCCAACCATCCTGACCCAAGTGCACATTATGGAACATTCCACAAGTAGCAGAATATAAATTCTTTTTCAGTGCACATAGAAATTTAAAAGGTGAGCCATATGCTGGGCCACAAAACATATTCCAGTATATTCAAAACATGTGAAAATATGCAAGGTATGTTCTCTGGCACTTCAGAACTAAATTAAAAGCCCAAAACAAAAATAAATCTTGAAAACATCCAAATTAAGCATGCTTCTTTATATCCTATAGTCAAAGAGGAAATTACGAAGAAAGCTAGAAAAAATTATGAAACATAGTACTATTAAAAAGCAGCATATCAATAATGCTTGACTTTGTTCAGAAATTTAACTTGAATTTACTAATCTATTCATAAACCTACTCTATCTTCAGCATATATTCAGGATCCAGTCACTTCCTAACCACTCTATTGTTTCTGAGCTATCAGTGTCTGAGCTATCGACTGAACTCAGCTTCTTTCATTATCCCCACTGTATCCTCCATTCAATAGACATTTAAATCTTAAAGCAGTTCATATCATTGCTGTGCTCAAAAGGTCACTATCTCACTTACATGGCAGAGAAATAAAAGTCTTTGTAAGGAATTTGCCATTGTTTTGCAGACTCCATGCAAAACCTCACTTGTTATGCTATTCTGGATGCATTATGCTCTTCATCTTCCTCAAATACATCAAGCAAACATCCACCTTAACAACAATCCTCTGCATTTTTTTCTATCTAAAAGCTTGCCAAGCCAGATTTCCTCACATTAACGTCCTGACCTTCCTGCAGCTCTCTACCTATAGGTAAGATGTACACTTTCTCTTTTCAAAATACATTATTTTACTTATTTGTGACGCAGAATGACAAAGAGAATGAGAGAAGGAAAGAGAAGATTTTTCCACCAAAAAGCCACTCCTGAGTGGCCACAGTGTCAACAGTTGGATCCGGTCAAAGCTGGGCCAAGAACTCCATTAAGGTTCCCATACAGGCGGCAGACGTCCAAGCATCTTGGATGTCCTCTCTGGCATTTCCAGATGCTTCAGCACGGAGTTGGATCTGAAGTGTAGTACCTGAGACTTGAACTCACGTTAAAGATTTATTTTATTTTTATTGGCAAGTCAGATATACAGAGATGAAGATCTTCTGTCCACTGATTCACTGCCCAAGCATCCACAAAGGCCAGAGCTGACCTGATCCAAAGCCAGGAGCCTAGAGACTCTTCCAGGTCTACCACATGGGTGCAGGGAACCCAGGATTTGGCCTGTTCTCAACTGCTTTCCCAGGCTACAAGCAAAGGGCTGGGTTGGAAGGGGGGCTGCCAGGATTAGAACCGATGCCTATATGGGATCCTGATGCATGCAAGGCGAGGAATTTAGCCACTAGGCTACCACACTGGGCCCTGAACTCCTTCTCTTAAACAGAATTCTGGCATTACAATAATAGTTTAACAGTGGTATTTGTTAATACCATAACAGTGGCACCATAATACCAGCCACATAACTACTCTTATACTTTTCTTTCCCATCCTTTCCTCTGCTTAAACTGCTCCCTGCTTGTTTTTTTCTAAACACTAACAAGCTTCTAATTAATTAAATGAGCTGCTGACTTATTGTATCAATTATCATTATTATCTTTATCAACCATGGCATAAAACTATCTTTGCTTTATTCAAGTATATTTCAAGTGTCTAGTGCAGTAACTGCCATATAGTAGGTATTCAGTAAATGATTTGATATTTTAACTGGATTAGGGACATCAATGAATAAGTTAATAAAGAGTTAAGGAAGCTGAACCTCCCCAATAAATTTCAATTGACCAGCTTCTGATAGAGGATTTCCCCTTCTTCAAATTCATAGGCATAGATTGGTTAAGGTGACAGGGGTAGTTAAGCTGTAACAGCAAAAGATAAGCAAAAGGGCCCTGCGCGATTGCCCAGCAGCTAAAGTCCTTGCCTTGAACGCGCCAGGATCCCATGTGGGTGCCAGTTCTAATCCTAGCAGCTCCACTTCCCATCCAGCTCCCTGCTTGTGACCTGGGAAAGCAGTCAAGGACGGCCCAAAGCTTTGGGACCCTGCACCCATGTGGGAGATTTGGAAGAGGTTCCTGGTTCCCAGCTTTGGATTGGTGCAGTACCGGCCGTTGCGCTCACTTGGGGAGTGAATCATGGGATGAAAGATCTTCCTTTCTGTCTCTCTCCTCTCTGTATATACGACTTTGTAATAAAAACAAATAATAAGTCTTTTTTAAAAATTGAGAAACAGGAGTTAATGTTATGCTGCTTACTGCAGGTTATCACCTATGACTCTGTCAACCCATTACCGAGCACTGGATCAATCCCTGCTGCTCCATTTTCAGTTCAGTTGCCTGCTAATATGCCTGGAAAAGCAGTAGAAGATGAACCCAGTATTGGGGCCACTGTCATCCACTTGGGATATGCAGATGGAGATGGGATACCCTGAAGGAGCCTGACCTAGCCCCAAGTGTTGAAGCTTTGGGGGAGTGAACCAGAAGATGGGCAATCTCTCCTTTTGTCATCCTCTTTTTCAAATAGCTAAAATAAATATTTAAGAAATGTATGGCAGCGAGCCAAGAACTCAGGAATCAAGAATGTAAGCCCAAGAGAAAGAATGAAAAATAAAGGAAAGTAGACTACTTATTATTCTGTTAAAATCGTCAATTCCCCATTATTTTTGTGCAGCTCAGAGAAGCATACGGATTTGTTGTTCACCTGTATTTGACCTTTGATTATTCAAAAACACCAAAATCATGATAAGCAAAGAATTGTGTTTTCAAGAGATAAACTTGTTTCATCCTTAAACACTCATTGGCTAAAGCTTCTTCTGTTGAGTTAAATTCATTCAGTTAAAGGCTTTGTATGCAAACCTATATCCTTAAGAGATTAAAGATGCAATTTAGACACACATTTTAGGAGCTGAATGCACAATCATTATTTTAGTACGTATTGTCCATTAATCTGCTGTTCAATTGGGAACCCATTTGGAATGTGGCTGCTTGCTAATTAGCAGGATTCTAGTGCTGAGCTGCTTCCTGATTAAATGTCCTTTAGAATCAATAAAACATCAGGAGGGATTAGGGTGATGTGGGATTAGCCCCATCTAACCAAATAAAATGAGTTGCGTTCTCTTCTTAAACTGTCATGTTGCAAGAACTGACAAGAGGAGCAATTTTGTGAGCCCTGTAACAAATTTGTTCTTGTGATTGTTGTTACATTACTGTCTTCTAACATTGAGATTTTGATTTCTGCTGTTTGGCTACCAATTAGCAAAGACATTAGTGAATGACTGCCAGACTAAGGCGATTTCAAGAAAGACTTGATTACGATTTAAAATCTACTCTGAATCACTCTTATGTAAAATGAGTTCAGGTTGTGTTGGATGGAAATTATTATCCCTGTTCTTGGCCAGAAACATGTAAGTCAGAATTTGCATTTAATGTTTCTGGGTGACTTTGTAATAAATGGTAATTAAGGAGGGCAAAGAGAGAACAGGAGGCAAACTAATACTCTAAAATTGTATTGGCAAAATTAAATGCTTCAAGCCAGTTTAAAACACATGCACACATGCCAAATTGGGTTGGGGAAAAGGGATAAATAATGAAGGCTGTGGAAGCATCCTGAATAGAGTGGAGCAATTGACACAGCCATGAGAAAGCCTTATCATACACATCTGGCCCATTATTGAGAGTACAATTAGATTGAAAAGGACTGGCTTTGCTAATCCCAGCATCAGCCAGAGGATTTTAGAAGATAAAGGAAACATG